ATGACATATAAATATCAGCTGAGTTTTAATGAGAATGAAAGTTATAATAAAAAAAGATATTAAAAAATAATTTTTCATAACTATAAAAGATTAAATTTTACCTAAAAAATAAAAAAACACATTTTAACTTTTCACATATTTATGTATATAATAAAAATCTCGAATTGGGTATGATTAAAATATTAAGGCAAATGAGTTGGGATCTTACGAGAATGAAAATTAGGGTGAGAAGGGTAAGAAGTGATCTACACCTTTGAATCAATCATAATTAAAGAGAACCTGTAGATCAATTCTCTTTTAAAGCGCAATTCATGGGTTAAAGTGATCAATGGTCTAAATCCCTTCTTAACCACCTTAACTTATATTTTCACATGATCCTTCATCTAAGACAAATATGGTAAAGAGATGACTTTATTTAAGATGTATTTTTCGTCTAGACGTGGAAAATACTTAGGGGTTGTTTATTTATCTCCTAATAGTTCCATTAAGAGACGGCCTTTGAATCGTTAAGAGTGAATCTTGTTTGGAGAAAAAAGTCTGTCTCTTAATGGTTCTAAAATCCTCAAAATGGTTTTTTGCATCTTGGGCCTTCATTAACCATTCAACGCTCTAATTTCATTGCAAACAATTAAAAAACAATTATATTTCATTTTGCACTATATCATGAGAGTCTCTTAATCATTCCGATCACTTAATCATTTTGCATCAAACCATTCAACAACTACCAAACAGTCCCTTAAACAACGATATATCGTTATTGCTTTTAAGTATTTTTCACTCTCTATATTCCAAAACTTTTACTTCATTATGTTATCAAGAGTATCTCCATTAGGTAGGAGCGCTTATGCGTTAGGTTGATCGGATTGAATGTATTTAAACATCCTAACTCAATGTTTGTAAGTTGAAAAATCTCAATCCAGCCGAGCCTAACCCAAACCAAAGTGCAACTCAACCCAACCCAACCCAAACTGTACGAGTTGATACTTTGATACATCAAAATATCTCATAACCTTGAATATGTTGTTTTCTCTAGTATAATTTCTTTTTCATTACCAATCATTTGATGCAACTTATCCATACTCCTTAAATCATATAAGACAACTCTTGTACATTCTAAAAATGGGACTTTGTATTTTTGTTTGAATCACAAAATACAAAATTTAAAACAATATAAAATGAAAAAAAATAGTCACAAGTACCATATACGAATACGACATACCCACTTGAGATTCCGCCAAATGATTGATAACTATTTAAATGAAAATGAAACATATTATTTTATTAATTATTCAAAGAATATTAAATAATTATGAAGCATATACCTTCCCAAACATCAACCAACTATTTATATACAATTATCTTTTTCTTGGACAATTTTATTTTTCAACTTTATAAATAACAAATGCATGTAAACCAGTTGAGTTTTTAACGAGTTACTTGAACTCGAGTTCAAGTTTAATAATTATCGAGTTCGAATCGATCTCGAACATGAATTAAAGCTCGTTTAACTTAACAAGTCGAGCTCTATAACATCAATGTGGTACCAAGGTCTAATACTATTTATAATAAACAAGAATAAGATTTCTTTCTTCTAGAAATTATTATCATTTTTATTAATTTTTAATAATAAAAAGCATTTATTGATTTTTTTTTTTCGTATTTATTGATGCCTCTTATTTTACATATGTTCAAGGCTTATAAGTTGTCAGGAACAGACATGTATATATATAAGCATGTAAAGTGGTTGATTAATTTCTTTTATTTTAATAAGCAAGTATATGATGAGAAAGGTAAGAAAAGATTTTCACAATTGGATCAATCCTAATTGACGATCAACAATAATGAGATGCACCAAATCAATTCACGGGAGAAGCGTAATTCATGGGACGGGGATGAGATTAAAAATATCAGGATGGGGGGGGGGGGGGTAAGATGACCATTTCTGACTGTTTATTTAACAAAGTAACCGAACAACAACTTATCTGTTATCATATAGACAACTTTATCTGTATAAGTTTTAACGAAAAATGAACCGAACAACTCCTAAATCAAATTATGGGTATTGTGCTTTAACTAGAAAGGGTCCAATTGTGTTTTAAACGTGGTGGTTTATATTCATACAAGTTTGACCACTCAAAAAGTGGTCCTTGCTGCTAGACTCTTTAGCACTTTGCTTGGAGGACATGAACAAATCATAACATGTATCATCATCAAGACATCTTCAAATTTTACATCAAATCTATAAAATTTGATGTAAAATTGGAAATAATAAACCACATGGGTGATGCCTGATTGGTTTGAGCTTGACTTCAAAGGTCAAAAGTATCAGGAGGTCACATGTTCAAATCTAAGGAGGAATAAAAATCTTGTTGTGGACACGGAGGTTCAAATGCAGTGACTCCGAGCTATCTGCAAAGCAGGTGGTCGTCCTGTGATTATTCGGCTCGCATAGCGAGTTGGATATCCAGGTTAATAAAAAGAAATGAAAACAATAGATCTTCTCTAATGGTATACTGAATCCTACATCAAAATGTAAAAGCATTTCTAACAGATTCTTAAAAATGGAGATTTTGACCAAAAAATTCACTCCAAGTGATTCTCCAAACCGAAGAAAGTAGAAGAGAATGTAACTCCAAATTTAGAGAACTCAAAAATGATTACCATGATAGAGAAATATTTATTTTTGTTATATTCCACCAATAAAAACCTTGAAATTAAATGTTTACGAGAGAGAAATGGTATTTTGTTAAAATGTATGATCCATTTTTTTAGAGATTTTAAATTTTAATTTTACATAAATTGACCCAAAGTTTAACAAGTAGCTTAGCTCAACCTTCGGTTCCCTTTGACAAAGCAGCTGAGACTAACTCGTTAATTGGCTATTGATGAGTCTGTCTTTCTTGAGGAAAAAATAAGCGACCAACTCCTCCATTTGGGTCACAAGACTAGCCAACTGTTTACCGGTGTGGGCTAACTCACTAAAGTAGGAAATAGAAAACGCTGGGCTCTTCCGCTCTAATGCATATAATAGTAACTGCACCGTATCTACAACGTATTAAACAAAGTGGAATTTTAGGGGTTTTTATTTCAACAGATTCTTTAAAACCTTCTTTAAAATGGATAAAGGGGGAGAGAGGATGAGATTCTCCAAATTTGGAGAACTCTCCGGGAATGATTACTTGTAAAAAAAGAAATTATTTTTTATTTTTCCTATCAGTGATAATGCTTGAAATTAAATGCATGAGGGAGATAAGAAATATTTTATGAAATGCATTATTAACTATTTTAATAATATAATTCATATTGTAATCTACAAAATGGAGAAGCCGTTGAAGATGAATATCCACTTTCTTTGAAGATTTTAACTTTAGATTCTTCATTTTAAATAATCTTATGGAGATGCTCTAAGTAGGGGTGCTCATGGGTTAAGTTGATCGGTTGAAGACATTTGAACGGCTTGAAAAATCTTAACCCAACCCAACCCAAACCGTACGGGTTGGTCAGGTTAATAATTTGATACATTAAAATATTTTTCTAACCTTAAATATATTATTTCTCTACTCATAATTTCTTTTTTATATCAACCATTTGATACAACTTATCCGTACTTCTTACGTATATCACATTCAATTAATTTTCTTAATTTACATATATATATTTACAGTTACTGAACATATATATGAATGAGTTATATAGAGATGCGAATAGATTGAAAATATGTGTATATGAAGAGCGTCCATGATAATATAATTGTCTAATGTATATATTAATTTAAATTTAACAATCATATTAAATCCAAGAAATAAAAGGATTTCGGATTCATCTGGTTGAGTTCATATAATGGTAATCCAATATCAACACAATACATACGGTTTGAATATTTTACAACTCGATTAGACATCAAGTTGCTTCGAGTTGGATTGGGTTGATCGAATTAGTCGAGTTTTTGAGCACCCTTAGCTCTAAGTTGAGGTGAAGTTTTGAGGCGACAAGTATTAGATTTAGTGATCTCCAACAATTTCTTCATGAATTTGCAAAAATGAAGAAAGCAAAAGTTAACTCTAGACAATTACATTTAATTTCTGCAATTTTATAATTTTCAAAATTTCAAAATTAATTATATTATTAAAATATTTAATAATACGGAATAAATCTTTTTTTTCTTTGTTCATTTAATTTTAAAAATGTAAAAAGAAAATTTTGATTCATTGATAGGTGTAAAAAGAAATTAGCATAAAGTTACGCATTTATATCACCATTTTTCAAAATTGGAGAATTTTTCATTTTTTTTTCTTATTTTGAAAAAGCTATTGATTGATTTTATTACAATTTAAAAAAAATCATATGAAAAATAGTAATTTAATATCATTAATGAAATTAATAAAATAATCATTTTCCTCTCTCTAAATTATTTTTTAAAGTATTTTCTAAACTTACATTCTTTTTCATGTTTTTATTTTATTTTAAAGAACGTCATGGAAATAAAATCTTAATTTTTTCTATTTTAAAAAATATATATATTTAATTTTAGAGATGCTTTTAAAAAAACCCCTAAAAGCTCCAAAAATATATTTTTAATTTTCTATTTAGAAAATGCTATTAATACTTTTTGGACATCACCAACATCATAAAGAACATCATGACAATAATCTCAGATTCTGTTAAATTAAAAGAATAAAATATGTATTCTCTATTACATTCTAATATATTTTTTTAAAATAATATTATTAAAATCTTTAAAATAAAGAATCTATTAAAATTAAACATAATATATTTTTAAGTATTTTGATTTTTTTGAATTATGAAAATTACAATTGTGCACCACAAAAAACTAAAACAATAAATTATAAGAACGAAAATAACAATGAATTATAGATCATAGGAACGAAAATCGCAATTTACAACCCACAAAGATGAAAATCATAATCTTTTACAAACCACAGAAACGAAAAACGCATTTACTCAAAAAGAAATTAGAATCTGTAACGAGTTGGATCGAAAACAGCATATTCAGAAATATTTGGAAATAAATTTTAAAATTTTTGGACCCAAATTTCTTGCCATATCAAGCACGCTTCCCCAAAAGAACCAAAACAACCTTCCCCATGACCTCATAATAACGATCATATCATGTGAACAAATGGGAACACGTTTCCAAAACAACAACAACAACAACAACTAAAACCACATATCTCCAAAAAAGTTAGTTTCATTTCATCCCATAAAAGCACCCCCACCCTACATCCCACTTTTCAATTCACAAATGGAGTCCTTCAAACCTGTTGCATTGCTGCTACTGTGTCTCTTATCCGTCACCACCACCGTTACGGGCTGGGGTGTCGATGGTCATTTCGCAACCTGCAAAATAGCTCAGGGAAGGTTAAGCCAAGCAGCAGCAGATGCAGTCAATCATCTGTTACCTGAGTATGCAGAGGGCGATCTGGCTACTCTTTGTTCGTGGGCAGATCACGTCAAGTTCAGATATCATTGGTCGTCACCGCTTCATTACATTGATACCCCTGATAACCTCTGCACTTACCAATACAACAGTCGGTCTTCATTACTTATGCTTTTATACACACACACGCACACATATATATAGACATATACAAGAATATAACCTGAATGAAGGAATAACATTGGAAGATGATGGTGTGCAGGGGACTGCAAGGATGAAGATGGAGTCATGGGAAGATGTGTGGCTGGAGCAATTAACAACTACACAACACAACTGCTAGATTATGGCAAACAAACATCTCAATGTAACCTCAGATAATTCATCACTTAATTCTTTTCTCTAGATCCTACCATACTATTATGTTTCGACTTTTAATCTGAAATATTGGTACTTTGAAAACACAAAATTGATGTGGGTCCTGTTGCATATCCATCACATCAATGACCTACTGACAATTGCTTCTTTAAATTCATGACCTTGTGACAGGTTTCTAGGCGTTCTTGTATATAGAAATGGCATTCTTTTGTTAAACAATTATATTCTTAAACCTGTTAGAAGGTCATGGATTTAAATAGATCCTGTCATAAGATCATTAAACCAAAGGAGCCTATCTATCACTTAGGGCCTATTTGTTAGCAGCTTAATGGGACTCGCAACTTATTCGGTCAGCTATACATGATTGTTTGGTAATGGATTGATCATATAGGAAGTGACTTATTCAGTAAGCTTCTAGGGGGGAGCTTTATGCAGAAAGCCAAATTTTTTTCCGAACCTACCCCTCACAATTAAAAAACACGTTCCTTCCATCTATGGAAAAAACACTCCAAACAAAAACCATTTCAATCTATACAACAAATTAATCAACACACTACTTTATCTATACAAGACTTGACGGAAAACCAACCAAACAGCCCCTTACCTGACTTTACAATCTTGATGTAGAAAGGAACTGTAGCATGTAGTATAAAAGTCCACAAATTATACCATTTCAGAAGTTGGAAAACAAAAACAAACTATTCGACTTTTGACTTGCAGATAATCTCACAGAAGCACTGCTCTTCCTTTCTCATTTCATAGGAGACATTCATCAGGTACCTATACATATTACAAGATTGATATTAATAAGACCACTTGTTTTCTTTCTCTAAACAAAGGGAACCCTCTTTTGCTCATACAGCCACTGCATGTAGGATTCACTACAGACAGGGGCGGGAACACAATCGACGTTCATTGGTTCACACGAAAAGCAGTACTTCATCATGTAAGTTTCCTCAGAAATCCTGAATCTAATTGAGGGTGATTTTGTTGAACAGCTAACTGTGTTCATGGCTAATGAGCTCATCAAAAGCAAACAGGTTTGGGATGACAGCATAATTGAGACTGCAGAAGAAAGGTTCTACAATTCTGATGTTGAGACTCTTATTGACGCTATTCAGATCAACATAACGGTATTAGATGGCTTCTATTCTTCGTAACAACCGAATTCTTTGAAAGTTTTTGATATTTTCATTAGCTTACATCTTGTTTGCCAGAACGAATGGGCAGATCAAGTTCAAATATGGGAGAGATGCAGCAGAAGTCAGACTACTTGCCCAAATATGTACATGAAGCCATTCCTTGAATTATACATAAATGATAAAATGAGAACAATGAAATGCACATTTTTAACATGGAATATTTTGAACAGATATGCAACTGAAGGAATAAAAGCAGCATGCAATTGGGCATACAAAGGAGTTGGGAATGATTCAGTTCTTGGGGGTAAGTCATGTGTACATTTGATGTTTCGACAACTTGGTTAACTTATGATTCCTAAAGTGGCATGATATATGATTCAAGGAACCATGTTATATTGCAGATGAGTACTTCCTGTCTCGTTTGCCTATTGTAAATTGGCGATTAGCTCAAGGTGGTGTTAGATTGGCAGCAACCCTTAACCGAATATTTGGATGAAATCATAATTATCTTGTACTGTTAACATTTGATAAAGAAAGAAGAACCCAAAGATGGTCAGATGTATTACCGTCATTTTGATTTAAACATGAACTGCATTACTTTCAGAAAGTTCTTATTTCTGCACATATGCAAACTGAATCAGAATGCACACAGTTATAGATTCAGTCTGTTGTGTTCATGACAAGAACAGGGCACTTGGCATGGTGAACATAATAATTGCTGACACTCCCCAGCAATGTCCTGTAGAATGAAACAAGAAAATGCTTATGGTAACCACATATGCAGAATTTTTAATATCGATGAAAAAGAAACTAAATGTTTAACTTCTCATTGCATATGGCCACTGAATGTAGGCTAACCTCGTAACAGCTCCCCCACCATGACTGCCTACCACGAGCAACTGAATGTTTTAAGTTCTCTACTGCATTGCATATGACCACTTTAGGGTCTCCAACCTCTGTCATTCCTTCTGCTGGGATCTGCAAGTTAGCAAGAACATAAGTGGTTGTCACGAAAGTAAATATTCGAACATAAAAGGGGAATCATACCCCATGATTGCTGCAGATAGTTTTAGCCTTCTTCAGCAAGTCAATAGCTGCCTTTTTCTCACTGTCTTTGAGTTCCTTCATCAGCTCAGCTGCTGTAATAATCAGAAATAAATAAATAAATTTTAGAACAAATTCCACTCTCAACAGAATCAAATTTTAGCAAGAGAGAGATACTTACTAGCCCAAGAAGATGCGTACAAATAGCTTATATCAACTGGGATTCGGGCGGTGTAGATAAGAAGTTCTGTATCTACAATGGTAGAACCAAGATTTTGGAAGATCCAACTGAGAGCATGTTCACTAAATTCACAATTGTCAATTACCACCATCACCTTAGTCTTCATGCTGCTCTCCATGGCTGCAACTCCAACATCCTCCTACGCCATTGCACAAACACTTCCTCTCTTTCTCTACCAGTTTCTTAAAATCATACTAGGATGAAGAGTTACCTAGAGGATGCAAGGTTTTTATTTACACAGGCAAGCGGCTGGGATCGTCTTTTGTGATCCATCTTCTTCAGATCTGATCTCACTCGTAAGGGCTTTGAAGAATAAAGTTAAGATTGTCTCCATATGTAATCAGGTGGGAGTGACATGTAATCCTTACTGTTTCGTTTCTTTGTGGTAAGAGCTTACCTGTGCACCTTTGCTTCTATGCATAAGACAAAAAAATGCAATGCCAACATATGGGATTAAAGAGCACAGGGATCAAAAGTGACATCAGTAAACATAAATATAGAACTCAATCAACTCATGAACTTTTTCTCACAAAACGAGATTCATAGCAGCAAAACAAGTAAATATAGATCCTAGCAGACAGCGGCACATACCTCACATTTCGAACACATCCTGATGGTAAAGATAAGCATCTTGGAATCTATGCAATGACCAATGACCCAAGCGAGAGATTGGGGCTCAACTCATTTTCATCCTTCATGACCAACATCTTCTTCCTGCTGCAATTCCCACTGCCCCTGCCATCTCCATAACATCCAACCCCCACCCCCAAAAAAAAAAAAAAAAAACCCAAGGGAACAAAACTGGTAGCTCGAATGGATTGCGTAATGTCCAACAAAGAATGGACAATAAAAGAGGCAAATGATGATATCCAACATTTTTCTACCTCGTTCCCTCCCTAGTTTTCTGCTTTTGCATTTAGCCCTCCCGACTCAGTTATGAGTTAAAACTACCATCTGCATCTTGTAAATCTCTTCAGCATTTCAATCACAGATCTAGTAGAACCTCCACAAACACAAAACAATCCAAAAACGAACTTCTGGGAAAAATCCACACAGTAATTTTATTTATTTTACATGTTTTTATTCACCAAGTAAATTTACACATAGCATCTTAAAGAAGAGTTACACAAGTAGAACCAGAAAATCATAAAACTCCAACGAGGATACGACCTGATTAGTTCACTCAGTTTTCTTTACCACGAGAACTGGGCACTTCACATGTTGAACACAGTGATTGCTGACGCTACCAAGAAAAACCCTGTTTTCAAGTACCAACAAAGTGTTCATTAATAAAGCAAAATCATAGCTTGAAGATCAGACGAATTATTGTTTTCTAAACAAAGAGAAGAGTAATTTTCCATATAATATGATTTGGTTCACACCCATGGAATCTGAGGTTCCAAGAACTTTGTCATATGTTCTATTTGGGAAGCAAAATACACTATCAGTAATAAAGCAACTATGAACATGACAACTTCAAGAAGATTCTTTTATACATTCAGACTAAATTTGACTTTAGCTTACTAGTCACCAGTATGCAAACACACAACTAAGACTCAAAGAGTTTATTCTATCGAACCTATATGGGTTAGACGGTTAGGTAGTGTAGTAGCTCAAGTTTTGAGAGGCAAAACATTCTTACAGACAAGTCAAAGAAGGCCATCAAGTACGGAGGATGCCTACTTGTTCTATAGCTTCTAAAAGACATCTTCTTTGGAGTGAAGGTTAGAGAGTCTGGAAGCAGCCTTGCTAAATTCAAGGAAGAGAAAAATAGTTGGGTCAACATATGAAGTCAGAACATAGACTCCTACTGATTATCCATTCCTCATAACATACTGCACTCTGAGAAGGAGCTTTTAGTATCTCATAGCTCAGAAGCCAAGTTACAATCCTAAAAATATAAGAAAACCATTCCCTGATCAACTAAAAAACAGTATTTGATAAGCAAATGCATAGATCAAAACAACAGAACTCATCTAGATCAACATTGTAATGCAAGCATAATTGTTTTTCTGAAAGGGCCAAGGAGTTGGGTAAAAGTTGCCTTAGAGAACTTGAGCTTGTACTCGGCTTGGTGCAGATGAAGCTGATGACACCAGTAATTAGCAGCTTGGAGGAATGAGGATGCAATGAGGATGCTACACCGTAGGTTTGTATGCATGCCCAAATTGCAGGATGTTGAAATTACGAAACTCTATGATATTTAGAATATTTACAATTGATCACTGGCACCATGATCCAATTTCTTAACAAATTTAGAGAAAATATGTCACATGGGGGGACTGGGGGATGGGGATCAACATTATCCATACATACGCCCTCCAACACAATTTCATAACGATAAGATCAATGTGTGAAGCAGAATATCCTAGTATTTATTACTTTATGGTAGAGTGTGCCTGTCCCCATAGAACTCACCTCTTTAGAGCTCCACGACTATGGCTACCCAAAACAAGAAGCTGGATCTTAAACTTTTCAACTGCTTCACATATGAGCTCTTTAGGATCCCCAACTTCAGTCACTGTCTCTGCAGCTATCTGTGTATTAATTTAATTCCAAATAAAGATCAATCATCATGAATACTTCTTGAATATTGATAGATGCGGTGTCATTTGGAGGAAGCAAGATGTAACTGTCAACTACTTGTCCAGCAGTAAATAGAAAGGATATTTTGATCTTATGAAGATACATCAAGATTTGATGTCATAGGTTTGACAACTGGACATATGTAATTATGTGAGGAACAGAATCACACATATATAGATAGATGCTAGCAAACCCATCTTTGCTTTTGTCAGCTCAATCAAACTGTGACTCATCTAAGATGCAAAGGTGTCCGGTGTACCCCGTATTTACTGCAGAGATCCTTAGCCTGGTTCAACAGATTAAGAGCAACTTTTTTATGATATTCTTGGAGATTTCCAATGAGCTCCGGAGCTGCAAAACAGGAACCACACCATGTTAATATTTCGGAGTTGCCAACCTACACATGCATACAGGAATTGATTGTATACCCTAATCCTCTATAAATGATCATGTCAGATAGGCACTAAAGATATTAAGATACTGTTATCACACTTCAAGGTAAGAGAGTGATAAACAAGGTTCAGATTTTCTCTCTTTAAGTGGACGACATGAGCACAACATAGACCAACTCCTATATACACGTTTCACATAACAGTTGAGGGACTAATAGGGTCCCTTATGGTCTGCCACATTTATGTCTAGACTTTCAGTGGAAGGGTTAGACTCGAACTTTTGATCTTTTTGACCGTCCCTAAGAACCCTACATGCCTTGAAGAGTAAAACCTATGGCCTTTGTGACCCTTCCTCCTTGCCGTGGGGGCCTTGAAGGATAACTAATATTTTCAAAGTAAACACTCCAATTGAGTACAAAAAGGGGCAAGTCCTTGGAAACAACTAGTGGAGTAAACCATTAAAAAGTTCCGATTGTAAAGCTGAACTTTATATTCAACAATTGTTCACGAACGCTTTGGCAATTGAGACACAGCATATCAGCAGGAAACTGTATGTGCCCAATTACGACAACCACCTTCAATTTTCATCCAACAGTTTTTTCTTCAAAATATGGCATCATTTTACTAGAAATGAATTAATGGATCAACATGAAATTAACTCGGCCTGACATCTTAAAATAGTACGAAATTTTGGTTAATTTAATCCTATTTCTGAAGTCTTCAGTTATAAGACGTAAACCAAACAAAGCAAAAAAAATGATTCATCCAAAACCTAATGAAAACCATCACCTCAGAAATGAAAATTCCCAATCATCATGCAGGGCGCATATATACATGCGCATATGCCATCGAGTAATTAAGCCGATAATTCCCCTTCTAGACTTGTAAATTTCAGATCAGATTTCATACAAATACAAACATAATATTGGGAAAGAACCCTGATGAAACATAAATAGTGAAAATATAACATGAAACGGTGAAAGCAATATCAATGTCATAGATGAAACAAGAACAAGTAAAACAAGGCATGAATGGAGGTAGAAGGACGTACGAGTAGAACCATAAGAAGAGGCAGAAAGATAGTTGTAATCAGACATGGGCTGTACAGTGAAAAGCAGGAGCTCCTTATTTGCCATAGAGTCGTGAAGGTTTTGAAGAGCCCACTCAAGAGCATAGCTGCCGAATTCGCTCTCGTCGATCGCCACCATTACCTTCTTCTTCTGAGACTCCATATCCACTGCAACTCCAATATCACTCTTCTTCGTCAGTTCGTCTTCTTCTAAATCTAAATACTACCTGCGACTTTGACTGACTGTAAGCGGTGCACTACTTTTCTGGGGGTGATGTGCTTGCACCAGAAACTTCCGTACATTTAATTTGGCGGTAAATAAACATATTATTATTAATTCATTCACACATCGAAATTGATTTAATTTAATATTTTTTTTGTAAACTATTTTTCAAAGGTAATAATATTTTAAATACATGATAAATAATTAAACATTTCAATGAAAAATAGTACTAACATGTAAATTTTCATCGGTAAGTACTTATTGGGTAATTTTCCTTACCTGATAGACATGACAAGGATCAAAAATCCGGTAAGTACTTATTGGGTAATTTTTCTCACCGGATAGACATGACAAGGACCAAAAATCTTACTAGGTAAGAGCGCTGATAATGATGGAGAGTCTTACCCGAGAAGTGTGAGTGATAGAATCTTACGCGGGTAAGCGTTTACCAGGTAAATTGTTGTATAAGATTGGTTTTGATGTACTACAATCTTACTCAATAAAATAAATTATAGTGATAAACTCCTAATGTTAAGCACTTACCGGGTGAACCACATTAAACTTATTAAGTTGCTAACAAACATGTGTTATTTTCTAACAACCCAAATTATTTTGCAAGTGAGAAATAAAAAAAAAAAAAAAACTAACATATGCATGAACAAAACCACGTCGTTTACTCTTTTACCTTTTGTAGTTTTTTTTAACCTTATTTCAGCACTAAGGGGCTTTTTACGAAACGATTATCAGGTAAGTGCTTACCAAGTCACATTATTTTACCGGATGAATATGACGAAGACCAAGAATCTTACCCGGTAAGGGCGAAAGGCAAGGACCAAGAGTCTTACCCAGTAAGTGAGGACGACAACTCTTACCACAATTAGCGCTTACTGGGTAAATTGTTGCATATGATGTTGTATTGGTGGACTAAAATTTTACCCGATAAATAAGTGATAGTATTAGATTTTACCGGTAAATGCTTACCGGGTAAGTGTTTGGTAAACAGTCCCTAAGTTTCACCACCAAATTTATCACAAACGTAAGTGTTTGTCATAAACTTTTGTAGCTCTTATTTTATGTATCTATTAGCTATAATGGCCCTCATGCCTACAGTTCAGTTACAAAAAGGTGGAACAACTTTGTTCAAATACACAACAGGTTTAAGTTCGTATCCTATAAAAAGTATATTTAAACCCCTCCACTAGCCTCCACGCATGTGGTTCTTAGGGCCCGAGTTTTTTGTGGGGCTCATCGAGACCGCCTGTAATCAACTTTTTGCTCAAATCTTAAACCATCATGAATAGCACAAACACAAGTACACTTATGATTGAAAATGAACCTTGAAACACATCATAAGACAATGTTAGAAACTGAAAAGGACTAAATATAGCAAGAATAGGGACTCAAATTTTTGTGTTATCTATGTGACAAAAATATATTATTTATCGTACAAGATACCTCATGTTACAAAAATTGTGGTATCGAGTACTAAACCCGGGTACATACGACATTGTATGTCATTTGGAATCATCATGACGAATGAACTGGACGAATTTGGATCTCACTTCTGGTGGAATACGAATTGGCCGATAGTTCTTGTCAAGCCAAACTGCGGTTCCTCGTGCCTCCAGAATGGGCTACACCAGAAAAAAAACATAGATTTCGTAAGATTAAGTAGGAACACGTTATTTAGCTAAATGATCTCCTCACAAATGTTTTTTACATCCATGAACTTCTAACAGGTATCTGAAAGTGACACTCTTCCATTAAGAAGTGGCATTCTCAAGCATGTCAAGAAGGTCGTGAATTTAAAAAACGAAGAATCAGCCAATAAAGTTATATAACCAAAGGACCCACATAGGTACGTTGAGGGAAGAAAAATCTAAATATAAATGTATGTCAAAGTATCTCCAACAGGTATGCTATATTTTCTCTCTTTTTCTAAATTTAGAGATTCTCCTATTTTAGAGAGTTTAGCACAGTTGTTGGAGCAAACTTTTCCCAAACCTCCAAAATTTCTAAAATGGCATAGCAGTTAGAGATGCTCTAACCTCTTCATTTGGGATTTTGACAATGAAGTGTTCGAAGTAGATACGAGCAGCTGAAGAGTCGGATATCCTCACTCTTACAGCAAACCGATCTCCAATCTGTTTTGACAAAAATATCATGAAGAGATGTGAACTCAGACTGCACACAAAGGGATTTAAGCATAATGTTTTTCTCAGAAAATCATGCACATTGGCAACTTTTTACAGATCTTGAAAAATAGAGCACAATTCAAATGAGTTACCATCATCATGGATCTTGCAAAGATGGAAAAGATAAACACTATAATTTACAAGAATAAACTATTTGAGATAAAGAGGTGCAAAGGACAATGGGTTTCTTGCATTCACACTCCACAATTTGCCCAAAACCACTTGTACATGCAAATTATAGTGTTCTTTTTGGTATTCTTTTTCGCAACAGTAATGGTTAATTTGCAAGAAAGCCATCACTCAAATTCAAATGAAGCTTCGAGTTTGAATGGTTTCTTGGTATGCCCCTTTTGTTTCTCGAGGAAAACCCTTAAAAGGAGTTCCTTAATTAACAAGAACAATAACATAAAAAATGGAGAAAATCATTATGGGATGTGTGTTTTGTTAATTGAAGGGTAAATGGAAAGATGGTTCAAGTTCGTAAGTGTGGTAAAATATTTCTGAAATTTTGAAGTAGTTTGTCAACCAGGTTGATCATATGGAATACAACTTAAGTGGGGTTCATTTCATTCATTATGAACTCAAAAGTGAAGGTCTTAAAATCTTCATAGAATTCAAATAGGATATATATGAAGTCTGTAATATAAAGTTGTGTGGCTGGATTAATAAGCAAATGGAGAGAGAACAATAAGTGATAGTTAAGAGTTAAGTCAATTTGGAGTTAAAAAGCATACTCTCAGAGGTGCAAGGAATTTGAGTGATAAATCTGACAATGCTATCGCATTACCAGTTCGAGCAACTGAATCAATACTTATGCCAAGCTTTTCCATAAGTTGATGACGACCTGTTAAATGAATGATTTAGATAAACCTTTAGGAGACAACGAAATCAAGTGTTGAGATCAACAGCTTTCATAAGCTTATTCCGATCGCTATACCAAATAAAAGCAACATAAATTCCATGTTCCAGCATAAAAATATTTAAAATGTTTGATTCCAGTTTTCCTTAATTAATTAACTTGTGAGCTATCCATATTGACATGGTGTTAACTTCATAGTTCAGAAGTATACCGGTTACGCTTGCTAGAATTTGGAATCTTTATTTCTACCATTGTCTCCTATATCATTTCTTCCCTGTTCAATTCTTCATTTTCTAGGTCCCATCTTTATATTTTCTGACATCAAGGAAGTTGGACTTATGATCACATCTCATTTCTTCAACCATATAAATGGGACTCAAAAATGAAATGTTAAACAGTCAAACCATATAAATGGAACTCAAAAGTGAAAATTTCAAATGGTCAAAACTTTGTCAAACCATATATATGGGACTAAACTAAAAGCAAACAAACCAGTAAATCCAACGCATGTAGGGTCTGGGTAGGTGTATGCAGACCTTACCTCTTCCCAAGGGGTGAGAGGCCTTTTGCGTGAAATGTTAAATGGTCAAAACTTTGTTCTGAACCATGGTAACAACGCAATCAAAGTGAACTCAGAGGAGAAAGATGCATTCTCCAAAAAATCAAATAGGAGTAGCGGATATCACTTCTTTTGATAATAGCGTGTGATCCCAGCTGATAACTAAATAAGTTATGTAACATTTAAGACTCACCATGTTGACAATAATTTGCAAAGACGGCATTGTTCACAACTCCATACTGATCCAATTCGTAATCTCGAACTGTGAGTTCAACCTCATGAAATCCACTCATTCTGCCAAGCATTAAGACCAAACAAATTACAAATATACTTATTTTACCAGCAGAAATTCCAGACCCTCATCCCTCAGCAAAGAGATTCATTTTGACTTCTGATGATCTACTATTCAACTATAAAATTGATATGGGTTATGTTTACTATAAAGAAAATTAAGATACCCCATTACTCTTCATAACAAGCGCCAGACTGAAAATTTTCTGGCAAACAAATTTCATACCAATATTTAACGTGTACATAGATTGACTCTTAAAAGTCTAAAAACCACCACTCTTCTTGGAACAAAGTTTTCCTGATGTATGATTGCTTTTGGATTTGAACTTTTTGATCTAACTCAATATCGAACTAAATTTTGAATTGGGGTTGCAATGCCAAATTGGAAGCTTCTCAGCTTTTCATATGACATGGTTTCTAGAAGATGAAATTTATAGCAAGTACTACAAACGGTGTTAACTGCGCAACAAAATCCACAAAATTCGGCATCCGAAACCACCAGGGTTGACATCAAACATCAAAGTGTAATTCAAGTGTTGTTACTGAATCTAGAATTATAAATTGGGGGCCGGAGGGAGTTCGAACTTTCATCACATCAGTTACTACCCTAAGTGCCCTAGAATAATCATCAGTTACGAGTATGTAAGTGATCATTTTATCAAAACCTCCCTTTCCCTACGGAAATTTCCTCATGTAATTGAAAACTATCTTCACATGATATGAAGCAAAATTCTTCAAATTGAATGCCATATAAATGGATTAATGTAGTAAGTTACCCTTTTCCACTTTTGATATCAAATAAGAGATTAGTACAGCTCCTGATAGGCGGTGTTAGAGACCGTAACCGCGGCTGCAGCCGGTGGTTCGTTCGGCGAAGTAAGTGAACGTTCGATGATGGGAGGTGGAGGCCGACGGAAGACGACGTCTTGACACGTGAGGCCGGAAGGATCACGTGCCCGGAGGAGAAGAATGCCTGCGACATCTTCGCCTTCGTTTGTATCGAAGTTTAATAATCCCGTGGTGGATTTGGGATTTTCGCTTGTTTTGGGCGTTAACGGTTAACCCCATTTATCGTGCATACCGATGATGTGATAGACAAACATACAAATACCACCCTACACTTTTCTAAAAATTATCAATCACCCCCTGTCATTTTATTTCGGCAAACCAAGTCTATGGCTTCGTCCATTATTTCTAACAATGCGTCAGATGTAAGATACAGTCTTGTGTTTTACTCAAAAGGTCGAGGTTGATTCAATTTGAAAAAAATGTATTATTCCCAAAATCGACATAATCGGCTTTCCCTCGAATCACCGAATCGGCTTTTCCGTCTAAACAAGCCTAAAACTTTACAGGCTTTTAATGTACCTGTACCTGTTGAAGAAAATTCATGAGTCCGCCATTATTCTTTATATTTGCCACCAATGTAATGTTATAGTTTTTCTTTTTCTTATTTGGACTTAAATTTAAACGCTACAACTTTTTCTGTTGCATGTAATAAACGTATAAACTCATTTCTAAAATAAGTTAAGTGGACAATTTAAAGTGACTATAGTTCAAGGACCAATTAGGCCTCTTAGCTCGTTTTGAGAGTTGCTTCTTGTTGATTCAGTGGCTCTGGTCTTGTGGGTTTTGGTTGGTTTTCGTTGTTTCCTTCCGTTTGGTTGCTTCATTACTTTTGGATTTCTTTGTTTTGCACTTTTGCTTTTGTCAGTTGTATTTGTTTTCTCGGGTTGTTGGTGTCTTGCATTGACCTTGGTTGCTCTCTTCATTCTCATTTGGTTTGGTTTGGTTCAGTTCGGTTCTGCGTTTTGCAAAGGTTTTGTTTCTCTCTTTTATTTTTTGATAAATTTGTTGGGTTTTAAAAAAATTAGATAACCAGGTTAATATGAAATGTTTTTTAATAATCTCTAGTCGAAAGCGTGAATTCATAATCTTTCCTTTTTGTTAAATTTGTGGTCAAGTTCAGAAAGATAAAACATCAAATCAATTTTATCTATTTTACTTGATTAGGAGTTTTTTTACCAAAGTGTTTATCGGATAAACATTTATCATCAAGAGTCACAACCCACTTAATTGAGTAACGTTCCCGGCCATCAAAAATAAATTGTTGGTAAGTGTCTTTTACCCGATAGATGTTAACCGGGTAAGATTATCGGTTCAAAGAACCCGGTAAGTGCTTAATGTTAGGAGTCAACACTATAATTTATTTTATTGGGTAAGATTGTAGTACATTATAACGTATCCTATACAACAATTTGTTTAGTAAGCGCTTACCCGGGTAAGAGTCGTCGCCCTCACTTACCGGGTAAGACTCTCCATCCTTTTCGTCACTCTTACCGGATAAGACTCTCCATCCTTATCATCGCTATTACCGGGTGAGATTCTTGGCCCTTGCCATGTTCATCCGGTGAGAAAAATTACCCGATAAATACTTACCGGATAAGCGTTTAGTAAACGACCTTTTAAATTGTGATATGTTTATTTCCGAGTAATATGCTTGAATACTTCAAAGTTAAATAACAATACAAAAGAACAAAAAATAATATCAACAAAATACCATAAATAAGTATCAGAATGAATATATATTTGATCAATAACAAGAGTTATTATACCACAATTCTCTTTCTCAAAGCCATATCTTAATCTTCAAACAAAACATATCATTTAAGTAATCGACAAACACATTTTTTATTTATTTTAGAATCAAAAAAGATCGAAGACAGATAGATGATAATATATATATATATATATATAGTTGTATTCATAGAGTTGATCAAGGAGACCATGTCGACTGAAAGGGAGGAAGGTCTCCTCCTCCATAGCCTTCTCTAGCCATCCTCTCCATCACTTGTGCTTCATTCCCATTTGTTCCCTGCAACGTTATCCTTTCTGCATTAACTTCAATTCTCTCTCTCTCTCTCTCTCTCTATATATATATATATATATATATGCATTCAATGAAATTAATATTTATGATATATATACAAAAATATTTTTTTATCAACCTGAATATCTAGCTCGTTATGCAAGCCGACTAATTCCTGGGTGACTACCTGTTTTATGGGTAGTCAAGAGTCACCACATTTGAACCTCCCGTGACCACAAGGGGATTTTATTTCTCATTGAATTTAAACATATGACCTCCAGACACTTTTAACCTTTATTTTGGTTTATATACAAAATTATTGCCTTTAATAAATTAAAATTCATTTGGGTTTTGCCCCCATTTATTTATCCATTTAAAATATTTATTTCACTAGTTTTATTGATACAGCGTGAGAATATCGAAAATGCACATACATGAATAGATTTAAAAAGATACAAAGCTAAAACCATAATATAAACTTTAAACATGTTGGCATTTGGCATGAAAAACAGAATACGTAGTTAATGGTCTGTATCTTTACGTGCACACAGGTATATTCAGAATTCATTCGTGAAGAAGAAAAACATGAAATCATTATATATATATATATATATATAGTTGCAAGATTATATAAGCTAAAGACGATGTTACCTTCAATGTTTCCATATCCTCCATTTCAGATGAGTTGAAGTCGTAAAACATGCTTGCTGCTGAAAGCTTCATTGAAAGAAACTAACGACCAAATAATAATTACGAGTTAATAAATTCTTCAATCTTGAATTTAATTGGTTTAATTCTTGTAAAAATAAAAAAGTGACAACACAATTAAGTCACCTCGATTTGGTTCTGCAATGATCGAACATAGTTGATTATCACATCCAACATCATCGACATTCCCATCGTCTATACAAGAAGATCATCGATCATTTTATAAATTAAATAAAATATCGGGAAAATCCCAAATAAAATCAAAGAACAATTTTGTATGAACATGCATGAATAAGAATAAACACCTTATAACAGCCTGGAACTAGATCTTGCAAACGTCGTAGTTTTTCATTGATTTTTTCTCTTCTCATCTAATCCAAAAAAGAAGAAGAGATGCATAATTAATTAGCTCTAGAAATTTTGTGTTTTTGGGCTAAAATTAAATGTGTTTCTTTATATTTGTAAGTGAAAGAACATATGAAACGAACCCTTTCAGCCAAACTGTGACTATCAGTAGCTTCACCTCTCTTCGCTCTCACATGAACAACCTCTCTCGCTTTCTCCACTCCGGCTTCGTTGTTCTTCTTCCGCTTTTTAACACCATAGTCCTAGATAAACCGAATTAAAATCGTACATATATAGTTAACAAAAGGATTTATAACAAACAAACACACAAAAACATGGAAACGAATCAAGAAAATAAAACCTTGTTTTCTTCGATAAATCCAGGGCCGAAGATGGGAGGATTGAGATTCATGAAGCTTTCAACCCTGGTAGCGATGCCATCGCGTTGAAGCTGACCAAACACTTCTGTTGTTGTTGGGAAATGGTTCATAGGATCACCATTGAAGTTAAAGCTCGGAATGGCTTCAGTACCATCTTGTAGAGACATGTATGCAAGAGGATGATGATGATCTGAGAAATTGTCAGCAGACACAGGAATAAACCCATGAAGATTAACATCAAATGAGCTGAAATTCTCAAGCGCAGTGTTCATATTGTTGTCCAGCAGCCTCATGATTCCCAGAGGAAATTGATCAACCATGATAGAGTTCTTACTTTAATTAAAGACATGCCAAACTGTACTTGTGTAAGAGGACACAGAAAAAGAGATGGGTGGTACCCAAGCTTCTCAAATCTTGATTGGCTTGCCTTGATACAATAATTAGGTTTTCCTACTTTCAAGCTCCAAACTTCAACTCAAACTTACTAGGGTTTCTATTTATAGAAACTTGTTGCTTTTCCATTTTACTACTAGGTATATGGTGATAGAAAGTTTTGTGGGTACACATGCATTCAAATTGATAGATTTAGTGATATAGGACCACAAGATGGCTTTTGATCAAGTATGGGGAATTTTGAGGGTGCATTGCCATTGATGCATATTTTGGGGCTCAATTTTCTTGGAAAGGGAATGACACTTAACTACTACTACCCATAACTATCAACCTTTCTTCCCATTAAGCTTTTTTATATCAACACAACACATTATTGGCTTATTCATCCATCCATCCATCTTTTCTTTGGTAAGATGTATATCATAAGTTACCAACCTTTTGCATTGAAACTTTGTCACCTTAATGTTAATGATCATATAAAATGAGAGGTTAATTGTAATTAATGTCAAAAGGCCGTAATGTAAAAAGCTTAACCTTGACGTGAATGTATTTATAAAATACGTTGGTTGTTCGTAATTGCCCATGCGACCAAAGTTAAAAGAATATTGTAAATTGAAAAACATCAGTATTGTTTCTTACCTCTTTTCTTGCTCATACTATATGACGCCTAGAATGTCTAAGTGTTGTAATAGAATATTTTATAGAATATTAGTTTATAAAACCAAACTATAAAAATGTTTCTATCTAAAAACGTTACAATAGGTTTATACGATGTTTTTAACGTTTTAACAAGTTTTTAGGATGTATATATATATATATATATATATACACACACACACGATAAAGGGATAAAAAAAACTAAAAAACGCCTTAATAATCATTCATTTATACAATATTTATATGCGTATAACATGTATACGTGCATAGAAATCAGGAAACTTCTTCAATTACTTATACGCACTTATTACCATACAAATGAACAGCTATTAAGATATTTCTTAGTTTTTTTAGAGGTTTTTTTCCTGAACGGTTGAACCTATCTCTCTCTCTCAATTATATATGGGGTTGGGTTCCGGTAACAATGAAAATTATGCTGAGAAGGATAAGAAAGGATCTGCACCATTTGATCAATCTTAATTGAAGATTGGCAGTAATGTGGTGCAATGGAAACGGAGCTGATATTGGGAAAGTATTGGATCCCACATCCTCAACGACCCCCGTTTAAGCCCCCACCCCCGACTATTAATTCCCAAGGGGTTTGGGAAACCCATTGAGTACCTGTTTAGTTAAAAAAAAAACGTAATTTAAAATTAAAAATGAATCTTCACTACTTTAATTACCAATATTGAAAATCAAATACATTTGTTAGTTAATACTAAATGTGTGTGTGTGTGTAGAGAGAGAAAGACTTGAGATCGTGTAAGATCAGACTGCTTTCGTAAAACTATTTTTTTATACTTGACATTTCACAATAAAACACTATAAATGTTATATATATGTGTGTGACGTGTGTGTGTGTGAGAGAGAGAGAGAGAGAGAGAGAAGAGGACGGACTATTCACATTTCATTTGATGGTCATGGGATAATTGTATATATATATATACACACACACACACTTAGGACCATGTGAGACTAAATTGTTTTCGTGAAACCGTTTTTTCCATTTAAAACTTCACAACAAAACACTGTGAAGGTTACCTTCACAATGTTTTACTGTAAATGTTCAAGTTTTTTTTAACTTCACACGATTTTACTATGAAGTTTCAAATATAAATCTTACTTTATATGAAATAATTGAATTATATATATATATATATAGAGGTTGATTATTATACAACCCTTGTCATTTGTGCAACCAATACAATCTAATCTCAACCGTCCATTTCATTTGATTAATATGTGATTTTATAGAGGTTTTTATTATTTCCTAATATAAAGTATTAATCATAATTAATGAACTGTATTCATCTTCCATAAATATTTAAATCATAATAAATGAACTTTAATCATTTCCATAAATATTTCAATTTATTGGGTTGCATTGGTTGTACAAATACGATAGGTTGTATTTGAAATAAACCCTATATATATATATATATATATATATATATATATATATATATAATTCAATTATTACATATAAATTAACATAAAAGTAGTAATGACTTATTAATGATAATATATCCATATTTGGTAGCTTGTGTAATTAGTCTTCAATTACCAGAAAATTTGGAATAAAAAGGCTGCTCCGCCCCTACTTAATTTCATTATTATAAGTCCACTCCACTTGCCAAACATCGGACAACCCAATCTTACATGCCACTCGATTTGGTATAATATCAAAAAATTTCTAATTTTAAATATCATGTACCAATCAATTATAATTAGTACGTAGAATTTTATATTGTGTATCAATAACCTGTATTTGGTACCAAGTTAATTAATGGGTACCAACTTTTTTTTATTGATACATGTCGATATTGGTTTTATATAAAATTCAAGTTATATAATTAAAGTGTGATCTTTAGTTAACCAGTTTATTTGTGTTAACTATACAAACTGTTTAGACCAATAAAAATCAATCTAGTACCATGATTCATATATTCATGTTTAATTAATGATTGGGGTAAAATAGTAAGGTTATGTTTTGTATTACTTTAATGCATTTAAAAAGGAGTTACGTTACTCCTTGAATTTAGTCATTTTAATATTATCAATGTGTTGTAAGTTATATTGTTTATGATTGCTCATAAATGAATGTATTTTGAGAAATAATCAATAACATTTCGACAATCAACATCCTTAATAATGAGTTCGTTGTGTTTGGTGATTGTGCGATATGGATGATCAACATGATAGCATCAGTCAAATGCATGAATGTGCACTCAACTGTTCAACAATGAACATTGTTCACATTGGCAACTTGTTCATTGGTGAACATTGTTGACCAGTCACACATACATACACATTCAGGTATGTGTTCACTAATGAACATGTTCACATATGTTATATTTTCATTGGTGAACAATATTCATAAAACTACTCGTATATGACAAATGTTCATTAACACGACATATTCGCCGTTTCTCTCCCAACAACGACATTTTGAGTGAATTTGCAGTATGCCAATATGGTTGGAGCACTCATTGGTAAAATACAGTTTCTACAGTACGATTGAAGTGATTTTAAGACGTATAAAGTTAAATGGGAAGATAAAAAGAGTGAATGTCGAGCAACACAAATAAGGAGAGACAACTACACTTCCTTACTCTACAAATTTCCATTTCAAAGCTTCAGCCCTTTTGCAAGTATTCGTTTAACCAAAAAATGAATTATAACACGTCAATGTAACTGGTAAGATTTAAGATTCGTGTCTGATTATGTAAAAAAGAAGAGATTTGCATAGGTCTTGTAAGATAATTAAGTAAACAAGACGGATTATATATTACAATAAAAGAATCAATTAAATAATTATAAGAAAATCAGATAACGTATTATTTGAAAATTTGTTTTGTTTTTCCATCAGCTACATCAGATATTATCTTTTATTCTTTAATTTTGACAACAATTAAATGATATAATATAATTATGAGAATTTAAATATAATAAAATGTAAATAAAAATTCGTGAAATCTTCTTTAACATCTTGAAAATAAAATTATGAGTAGACTCCAAATTGGTCCTCGTGGTTTGTCAAAATAAACTCTTTTTCTTTTTACAATTTCGAAATTACAAGATAGTCATCATGGTTTGTAAAATATCTGGGTTTGGTCATTGCCACTAATAGTCGTGAGTTTTACTGTTAAATAAAGGACATTTGTGTCATTTACTCAATAAAAAAACCATAGGGATAAAATCGCTTTTAATTAGGTAAAAGACAAAAAATTAACGAAATTTTTTACCATTAGATAGAAAGACGAAATTTGGACATTTTTGTAAACCACGATGGCCATATTGTATTAAAACTACAGAGACAAAATATGTTATTTTTGACAAACCACAGGGACCAAACTTGTAGTTTACTCTAAAATTATTCACAAGAGTGGGATATGGATGTTCAAGTGGGCCTGATTAAGCCCACTAAGGAAAAGAAATGCAGGTCTTTGTTTCATAATATTTTCTACTTTTTTGGATATAAAAAAGTTTTTGAAAAATGTTTGTATTTTAAAAAATCAAAACCAATTTACTGGTAACAGTTACCACCATCACGTACCTTATCGGGTAACACAGTAAACGTTTACTGGGTAAAAATCTTTTCCTTCACGTACCGGTTACAACCAACTGTTCTTGCTATGTCTTTTACCGGTATAAGTGACACCCGATAAACGCTTACTCAGTAAACATTTATGGTCCCTTTAAGTTTTCAGTATCCAGTATTAAAAAAATACATTCCAAATTCCATTTTTATAAAAGAGAAAATAACCTCAACTTAAAAGATGGCCCAATAATCATCCAACATGTTACATAAATGAAAGTGATCCCCAATTTATTCATATTCTCAATCATCTCTTTGTTCCAAATGGAGCCATTTCCATAGCCTCTCAATTTAGCCCCCCACCTTTGAAACCAACTTATAGATGTTCATATTGGAATAATGAATTGTTTCCCACACAATAAAACCACCCTCTTTAAATGTTCGAGAATTTTATTTAATTTTTTTTTATTTGGAGATATACAGATAATTTCTGAAAATATATACTGACGTTTGACATATATTTTACAGTCTGAAATATGATTTTTTTTAAAATCATTTTTGTTAAACAAAAAAAGATTGAAAAATTGAAGAATGATAATGAAAAAGACACCCATCTCCAAATGGTTTGCTCAAATGTGGAAAAGCCATAAATAATGTATTGATATTACATGTATCACAATCTCACTTGCAAATGACCCCTACCATCAAAACCTATCCACAACTTGCACTTTTTACAAAATTGATACACTTTTAATGTTAAATTAATTAATGGAAGATATCACCACCCCCAACCCCCACCTCCCACCTTAGACATATATTATAATATGGCATAATTAAATAATAACTGTTTTGTTTGTGATAATCGTGAGATTTGATCTCAACCATAAATCAAAGGTTAAATTATGAAATTAAGAATTTTGGTAATTTTAACTTAAAATATTAATTAAAGGTATTTTAGGGATTTTATAAATATACACGTTGTGATACCTACAAACGATATTCACTGTGATACTTAGATATACATACAAGATGCACAATATGATACCATTTTGTAAAGTAATGAAAATAACGTGAATGCACACTATGATACGTTTCATAAAACAAAGAAAATACATTGTGAACGTTATCACTATGATATATTTTGATTTACAAACGTCTTTAAAATACGATATGTATTAGGTAATTGATATACTAGGTAACTATAATTAATTAAATATTTCCTTCTAAAAAATTTAATTAAATATTTTGATTAGTTGTCAAAAATAGAATTGCTATATTATCATTTTAGCTTATTTATGGAATGTCCTTAAAAATCTCAAACGGTGGTTCACATTGGATCTTACGGCTACCACAAACTAATCAGTTCTCACTTGAATAAACAATACTTTATGCATAAAAAAATGTTTTTAAGAGTTTTTGTCAAATGCTTTATAATATAATATAGATATATGAATGTATGTATGTATGTGTGTTATCTGTATTTTATATAATTATAAGTTGTACTTTTATCATGATGGTATTTAAGAGCTTGAATGAAGATTATGGTTGACATCAAACATTTTAAGGTCATACTTAATGCAATATAATTTAGGTATTTTTACATCAATTCTAATTTAAATTACATTTTTTTAATATTTATTTCTTAATAAAAACATGACATAATAATAAAAATACCTTACTTTGAAAATAATACCACAGGAAAGCAAACAATATTCAAAAAGATTGAATACATACGTTGATGATAACGAGTGTGAACTAATTGAACCGTCAATTAAATGTAGCAGCCAACTATTTCAGTTTTTCGTCGGTCTAAAAGGGTAGTCATCATTTGTGCTCATCAATAACAACCCACTCTCATTGTCAACGTTACTATTAGTATGCCTTTTACTTCAACAAGAGAAAATATATTTTTATATTTAAAAGAAATAAATTATTGTAGACCTCTAACAAATTCAGCAAATATAGTTTACTGATCATTAGATACATGTTTTGTCGGTACGAATATAGAAATACAGTGTATTAACATATTCAGAAATACTGATTATATTAGATCAGATAAGATGTCGTAGCTTTAATCTTGATTCTTTGGAGAAACAAGAGAAAACCCCTAGGAAAAAACTATGGGGACCTCAATTCTCTTGTCATACTTCATATTCTTCGTACCAAAAGTTTGAAAAAGACAATACACTTTTATAGTTATAGCGTATGTTAAATTATTCAAGGCAAATATAAACAAGATTCTTAGTCAAGCACGAGTCTTTCATAAAAATCTCTACTGCAAAAAGACACGAACATTGAACTTAAAGGGAATCATTCCTCTTGAAAATGTCGTAATATGAGAAACTACATCCGTCTCTAGAGATGTTCCCGAAGGCATCTCCAATGGATTTCGTCTTGTGGAGGTATTTTTATTCTTGTCCGTTCTTTAATTATTAATATAATATCTATATTTTATGGAAAACTATTTTTTAGGTAGAAATGAAATAGATTACAAATCGATAAATTTCACTATCTGGTATTCATTCGTATAATAGAAGAAGGTATATTTATTAATATACTATGAATAATTAAATAAAAATACATGTTTTAAAACATCATTGAGCCGTGTATTTATAAGAAAAGGTTTTGAAATTACTATGGATTTATAAATTTGTGGGAAACTTTAAAGTGTAGGGTGTACTTCCCTATCTTATATTTCAACGTTTACAATAAAACCCTCTTGGGGATCTCTTTATAAGTATGTAGACCTCCATTTACTTTTTTTTAAGTCTACCTCTTTTTTCCTTCTTTCTGTTTTAACTCCCAACAAGAAAAAATGGGTGGTTCTTGCAATGAAGCAAGTTTTGATGAACTAAGAAGAGGGCCATGGACACTTGAGGAAGATGATCTTCTTATCCATTATATTACTTGTCACGGCGAAGGTCGTTGGAACTCGCTCGCAAAATCTTCAGGTATGAAAAACGTCTCGTGTTTTCTGGCTTTTCTAATGGTGTAGTTTGATATTCTTCGAGGGTTTTGATCTGATTTTATTGGGTTATTTGATTTCTGTTGACAGGATTGAGAAGAACAGGGAAAAGTTGCAGACTAAGATGGTTGAATTACTTGAAACCAGATATTAAGCGTGGAAATCTTACGCCACAAGAACAACTCTTAATCCTTGAACTGCATTCCAAGTGGGGTAACAGGTGATATTATATGTATGAGAGTATATATATATATATATATATATATATATATACACACACATGCACGTATGTATGTATATATTTTTATCTGAACGTTCTAGAATTATCTACTTATTTTATTCTTTTTTGTCTTCAAGATGGTCGAAAATTGCACACCAATTGCCTGGAAGAACAGACAACGAGATAAAGAATTATTGGAGAACAAGGGTACAGAAACAAGCACGCTACCTTAAGATCGACTCCAATAGCAAGAGGTTTGTGGAAACACTTAGACGATTTTGGATGCCAAGATTACTTGAAAAAGTTGAACAAAACTCATCATCAACATCATCATCATCATCAACATCAACATCATCTACATCAACCCCGGAAGTCGATCAAAACAACTTGAGCTCTATATTGCAAGCCGAACAAACCCTAATTATGGCATCATCATCGCCACAACCAACCAAAATGGAAAACCCTGCTTCAAGCTCAAGCCTTTGTTCATCAGATTCCATGGCAATGGTTTTTCCTGAAAATTCAAACCTCCAAATAAACCCTAATGGAGACAGTGCCACCTGCTACATATCATCAATCCAGAACAATGACTGTAATTACCATGTGGGTATCAATAATTTTGACATGGACTTAACCCCTTTGGACATGCACGCAGTGGGACCAGCTGGTGACATGACAGTCCCAGAGTTCCAGGTGGCAGAAGCAGATTGGATGAAAGATGATGACTTGGCAAGCACATTTTGGAGCATGGATGAATTATGGCACTTTAGGAATTGAAGTAGGCAGAATGTTCCTAATGGTCGTTGGCCTTGATATTATATATAACTATAAAATCCATAAAAAAGACGAAATTTGCTATAGCATGCACTTGTATATTACGCACTTGTGATTGTATGTGTATATATAATCAAGAAACAGGTATCTATTGATGAGCTGACCATTTATGTGAAAAGAATCCCAAGTGTCAAAATCTTATCAAGAAACGTGCACAAAGGAGAATTGCTATATGCCCAATTTAGATTGTTTGATAAGGAAAATTATTGTCATGTAAGAAAAAAAAAAAAATATATATATATATATATATATATATAGTCAAGTCCGAGAACAGTAAATAAATAAAAGAATAAGAAAACGGTCGAATCACATGTGATTTTACACTAAAATCACGTATAAAATCACATGTGATTCACACGACGTGGCTGCGACTTGAGGTCGCGGGCCACATTGCACGCACACACTTCCATCGCCTGTTAGCAAAAAATCACATGTAAATTTGCACTAAATTTGGCTGTTTTCGTACTCTATTATTTAGTTACTGTTTTCGTACTCTATTATTTAGTTACCGTTTTCGTTTGAACCTTCCTCTATATGTGTATGTATATACACATATCTTTGCATATACACACAAAAGCATTAGCATAAGATTTATGGAATTAAAATCGGTTAATGTCATGGATATTGGAGTAAGTGTCACATATTTCACAATTCTAATCAATCAAGCATCAATTTAAATAAAAGAAAAGATGCAATTTGGTATAAATAAGATGATAGATTAGATGAACACACACAATTAAATAAAAGATATATGTAAATGATTTGAAGCTTCATTGGAAGATAAGCCATGATGCACAAAAGTTGTGAAAAATGTTAGGTTTACATTAATATCTTTAAGCATATGAGTTTTTTATCTTCAGGATGTGCATATATGGTATGGCAACAAAAATTAAATAAACACACACACCCAATTTTCTTATTGGCCCAATTTTAACAAAAATTGGAATATATGATGATTGGGTTTATTAATATTATTTATTTCAAGTTGTTCCATTTACATTAATTAATCTACATATATAATTACTAATACTTTTATTAGAATTATATAATCAAAGAATATATAAAAAAGTAAAGTAATTTGTGAAAATGAAGAAGATGCATGCACATATAATAAGTGGGAACTGAAGAAATGCTTCCCCCTTTGCAAGTTGCAATCCAATCCCCTAACTTCACCATCACACCTGCGACTCTAACCCATCAAATGTGAGTGGACGACTCTTTCTTACTTACTTTTATGCTTCTGTACTTGTAATAATCATTTGCTCTATATCTCTATCTGTTAAACTACCAATAACCCCCTTTCCTACATATATGTTCTTTCTCACACATGTCGAAATCAAATTTTTCTTTTTATATTTTCAAGATAATGTATTGACCCGGACGAGGCGTGTTCCCTTCTAAACCTTAGAATTTGTTTACCATAATGGTTTCAACATAAAGATTAACCTTATTAGTTTCACTTTTTATAATCATCAAACCATTATCTGTACATGGAAAAACCAAGTATTTCTAGTTGATGCAGAAAATGAGACACTAGTCCTTGCATCATTTCGACTTAACTTGAGTTGTCATCTTTTCTATCACAATCAGGTGATCTTTTTCTTTGATGTGACATAAACACCAAATTCATGGGCAACTAGAGAATGAAACAAGACTTTTCAAGTATTCATCACATTGTTCTAACTCCCTACTTATCATGCCAATCAAGGGTAAAAGAAATGAATTACAGTCTTCATCTTAGTACAAGTTAACTTACCTCATATGACGGTTGTTTGTGTGCACAGTTTCACTTAAGCATGCCATTCTCCAAGCCTTTCAGACTCAAATTAATCTTCGACTGCCTCATTTCTGAGGAATGGTAAAGCATATGCATTTGGTTAAAATCATAAGGTTATGCAGACCTTTTCATGCACACAAATATGTAAACCAACTTTAAAGATGGTTGTTAACATGTTAAGCACCAAAGAAAGAATGGTTAATTGGGCCAATTCTTTGCATCAAGATTCATTAGTGAATTGGCCTCAAGATTAGTAATAACCACCTTAGAAGAAGGAAAGCCATCAAACATTTAGTGGCCGTTTTATTTAGTTCTTCATGGTACTCAAGGCGTTTGGAACATATTATTCTACAAACACTGCAGGCAGTCATTAGATCTCTAGTGCGATAAACATGGAAATTGTCTACTGCTAGTGGAACTACAAAAATTACTACACATTTCAACCTTCTAGTAACTTCGACCCCTGTAATAAAAGCATTTATCAAAGTTGTTGATGTTCTATGCCACAATCCTGCTAGTGTCATCAATCAAAGATCATCCCAGCCATTAGCATACCAATTCAACTGCAACAGAGACCATAGTGCCTGATCATTAAACACTTGCGAAAAAGATACAGTACCAACTGATATATACTCCCTGCATACTGAGTTATTGTCTTCATGCTTTGATATGACAATATGATGCGTCTAACGATATTTTACCCTGTTTACTTAAGCTCCTAAGTCCTAACAGTGGGTGTGTATATCTTTACATCAACTCATGAAAAAATTTGAAATTTCCGGCATTTTAGAAAGGCATGACTATAAAACTAGTAAAGTATCTAATGTTATGGAAGAGGACAAGCTTGGGAAAGATCTTGAAAGAGAAACAGAAGATTACAGTATCCGTCTTAGTGGTAAGAAAAATTACTCACCTTATGCTTCGATATCACTGTGGTTATTCCAGCATGAATATTCCGACACATGACGCAGGTGAAGGCCAAGAGCGTCCAGTAGCATTAAGCTTGTCTTGTCTCAAATTCAAGTGTGAGCTATGCAAGACACTAGATAGCAGCGCAATAAAGCGGTAAAAATGGTTTTCCATCAATGTTGGTGAGACAGAGGAAGGACAGAGATTGAGAATTTTGGGCTTATACCCGTACATGTTGCTGAACCACCCGTTGAGTTTCACAATTAGACTTCCAACTTCCAAGTGTTTGAGATTGATCCAACATAAACAAGAAAAATTAACTTGATATAAGATTCCTATCTTTTGAGGTATGAGTTTGCTGCTTAACAATTCTATTAAGGTATTATTCCCAATATTTCATTGTAAAAGTTCTATATTTTAGGAATATCGCCCTTCAGAAAGACATAGTTCTACAAAAACAGGCTCCTGAATAGAGGAGCTGTGAGTTGCTCACGACAAATGTCATAACATTGCATAGCAAAACTATTGGCCAGCAATGTGATGTATATGAACTAATGTTTATATAATCAAATATGCACAAATGAAGTGTTTGAAGAAGAAGAAGAGTGAAAGATGAAATCAATAAGAAATACCAAGTGTGTGATGTTTTCAAGACAATCTACAATGCAATGTGCATAATAATACCAATTAAGCATTGATATTAGTACTACCTCTTTAATGACCGACATGAGATTGGAAGCAACCTTACTGTTGGCAAGGGTGTTCTCAGCAGTGCGTTGTATGTAATCCGATCTTCAGAAAGAGGTCCAAAGCTTTCCCTCATTGTCACCACTCCAAATTCTTCCAAAAACCCTACATATTCCAAGCAGTGCTAGTGATACGATTACAGCAAAATATGAAACCCTTGAACTAACCTGCTGTAAGAAAATTAAAATTGGGGAAAGTAATGGAGCATTGATTCGCCAAAAAATGATGATATATTGATGAGAGATCTCACAAAGATCTAATCGTGGTTACGATTGAAAAGATGCAAGACATCATCTAAATGTTACAATGAGAAAGAAATTAACCTGAGATAAAGCTCTATACACATCATAATTGAAAACGAGACCACTGAAATCACATCCACCATTATCTCTACTATGCCAACGATCCCAATCTTCCAAAATGAAACAGGAGCACAGAAAGGGTTTTGAAGTTGATTTCCAATCACTCAACTGAAGAATGAACAGGATGCAGATCGAAAATCCAATTTGATCCGACCCAATTCAGAATCGCAATTGAGAGTATTTGACCACTAATCTACAACAAGCGATTGGAGATAACCCAAGGAATGAAAAACCATAACCGATGGCCGGAGAAAAAGCCGTCGGACGTCGACAACAGAAAAACGGGAAAAAAGAGTAAACTACAAACTTAGTCCTTGTGGTTTGTAAAATTAACACTTTTTGTTCCTTTCGTTTTAAAATTACAAAATGGCCATTGAGGTTTGCAAAAACGTCGGATTTTAGTCCCTTTCTCTAACGTCAATTAAAAATTTTCTTTAAATGAAAAACAGTTTTGTTCTTTTTTTATTTCTATGTCTGTTACCCAATTATAAAATTCATTTTGATTGGATAAAAAACAAAAAAATTAACAAAATAAAGAAAAAAATCCACCTATTTGATGGTTTTTAACGCCCTTTAAAGAGCGACAAAATATTCAGCAACTTTTACAAACTATGATGGTCATTTTATAAATCTTAAACTATAGGGACAAAAAGTGTTATTTTTCACAAACCATAGGGACTAAATTTATAGTTTACCACTTAACCCCGGAAAAAACAAAAAGACCGTTGACAAGGTCAAAATCATATCCGCTTAATAATTAAAGGACAAAATTGCCCCTCGAGGGGCGTATGGGGTAACTTACTGGTGAAACATAATTGTTGTAGCAGGAGGGACCAATTCAAAACAAAATGAATATTCTAGGGTCTAAATTGGTGAAGTTTTCAATTTAGGGACCAATAAATAACAAAATTCAAATAAGAAGGACCAAGCATGATAATATTAAGGATTATGAGATCAAAATAACATTATTTCGACAAAAAGATGATTACCGGCAACCCTAAGTCCCATACATAACTCGCTTCTAAGGACACCAATGTGAAGACTTTGTTTTGACTCACTCAGCGGTTGAGGCTAGCAAAGAGACTTGGGATCGAACTTATGACATGTCTTGTATTTGAGCAAATCCACACCACTCATTTACCAATTGAGTTATATGCTAGATGCAAGATAATGTTATTGACAAGTTGTGATTAATATTTTTTTTTATCTGAAAATGATTAAAAAAAACAACGATGGCAATTTCCAGTGCAATAAAATGCCTTTAAATACGACACTTATCGTTTCAACTTGCAACATTCTAACACGTGGTAGGTTTTCGCTGTCAAGTTCATCTTAGAAATTATGACATGCATTAATTGTGGTTCGTTTTTTATGTCGTGTGGTTTGCTCTATAAGTATATCCCAACTCTAGTCTTCATTCAAGTTAGGCATGCACACCAGTTCATCTGTCTTGGTTAATATCGTGCATCGCTAGATGAGTGTCCATACTATCGTTATTTATTATTCAAACAGAAATGATTTGTACACATTTATATCCTTTGATAATGCACATGCTTTGGATTCAATGACAAAGTATGTGGGTCAAATCAATCTTTGCTGGCCATTATACCCGACCCCAATTTGTATTCGCATGAGTTGATCTTATTGTTTTTTTTTCACCTCGAGTCGACGTTTTCTCGTAGCCCATTAGTCGTGATGCAATTGCATTTACTATGCCAATGGGGCTCTTGTTTAAGTGTCGATGTTCCTTCTTCTTTTGTTAAGATTCTAAGAGTTCTTGTAATTCAATCACGAACAACGTTGTCTTACACATGTTAACAATACAAGGGTCTGTTTATTAGCAACTTAATGAGCTCAATGATATTCACAGCTTATTCGGTCAGTTATACATTACTGTTTGGTAGTTGCTTAATGATATGGAAAGTGTCTTATTCGGTAAACTTCTAGAGGAGCTTTCTCGCAGAAAGCAAAGTTTTTTCAAACATGTCTCTTCCAATTAAAAAAACGATCCTTTCGTCTATTAATAAAAACCTTTCCAAATAAAAACGTTCTCAATTTATACAGACAGATTAATCCACACAGACAGATTAGTCCTTACAAAAGAATGAAACATTGTTGTATAAACAATAAGTTGCCCATATTCACTTTTTGTCTATGGAAGGGTTGCAATGTCACCCTCAAACTTTACCTTTTGAAACCTTTGGTCTCAAGCTTGTCCTCCTAATCATCCATCTTTCCAAAATTCAAAGGAAAGCATCCAAGAAATCCTACATTTCATTCAACTTATGTCTTACCTCATCACAACTTTTTTTATGGACTAATAACATAATATTTAAAACCAAATTTGGCCTAGCGGTATCATAATTTTTGGCCTTCTAGGAGGTAGGGGGTTCAAACCCCACCACAAGTGAAGAGGGTGTGTGAGTTTATTTGTTGCATTTATCGTATATAAATATTATATACTTCAAAAAAGAACATAACATTTGAAGTTTTTGATTTTTTTAAAGAAATGTTTGATATGACAGAATTGAAATGATCAATTCTGTTGGCTTCATTTTGTCGGCTTATTTGGTTTTTGTAAAACGAAAGGAACTGAATTCTGACCAAGTCAGTAAATTCCACGAGATCAGGGAATTCATCATTCTTTGATGCGTCTAATGAAATTTAATTTCATTCCCACATTGTTTTGTTTGAATTACATTCCGTAATTTGTCAGCCAAATGAATGGTTAAATCAGATTCATTTCAAATCTCTTTAATTCAATTTCTTTAAACATATTTCCTTCATTTTAATTATACTAGAAGGGTACTCGGGCAATGCAGCAAGATATATCTCGATTTTAATGTTAGTTTTATATGGTTTTGAGAAAAGGATAACCTTTTTATTTTTGAATAAAATGTAAATTTAAAGATATCATAAAATTTCGAAAATAAATATATCAATATTAGTATCAAATTAACAATTTAAAAGTTCTAGTTTTTTGTGTAAGTTCTTTAATTCAATTTTTTTATTATAATTTAATTTAGATTTAGTACGAAGTAATTTATTTTTGATTTAAAAATATAATTTTTTATAAAGATAATAATTAAGTATTCTGTTAGAACTCAACGATCATCCTAATTATATTTTATATTTATTATATTTAAAATAAAAAATTTATCTTCTATTTAACTATGTTTATCTGCAGTTAATTACACAAATTCAAACATAAAGCTTTAAAAGTTGTGTTTACGAACAGTTTATTTGTAATATTGAATTCTAAGTAATATGCATCAATAAACGGTATTTCATGCATATATATATATATATATATATATATATATATTTCTAAAGTAAATATTGCATAATTACCATGAATCTATAGCTATTCTTGGCTTTGGTAAAGAGATTTACCCCACACATTTTGACTTCACTTCCACACCAAGAAATCTTGTTCATAGTCCCCTATAAATCCCCCTTCTCAACTACAAACTTCACATTGGAAACATGGCAATTGATGTTTGCTCTGCCTCTGAACCTTTTATAAGCCCAAGAATCTCTTTCTCCCATGATCTCAACAACCAATCATCTGACAACCACGCCACCGCCGAAACTGTTGCCGCCGCCACCACAACCTTCGATTTCTGCATCACATCCGAGATCGTGCAACATGTTACATCTGCCGACGAGTTGTTCTTTGACGGCATACTCCTTCCCGCCCAAATCAAGAAACCCGAAAACCTTTTTCTCGAACCAACAACATCAGGGGATGAAGCCACCGGCATACAGAAAAAGCGTCTCAAAGAACTTATCTCCGACAGAGAAGATGATGATGACGAAGAACAAGAGAAATCTTCATCGAGATCATTTTGGACGTTTAAACGGACCACAAGTTTGAACTCTGATAGTGGAAGGGGGACAAAAAAGTTGTTTCGATCTTTATCGCTAAAACGACTGTTGCGGAGTAATTCAACTGATTCAGGACTAAACCCAAGGGGAATCGTCGCTCCAAAGGTTATAGAAAATTCGAATTCACGCAAAGAGTCGGCAGGGTTTCAAAGGTGTTCTAGTTCAGTTCAAACTCCGTCGTTACATCATAATTATAACCGGAATAATTCTTTGCGGCAGTCGATCAAGAAGAAGAATTCTAGCGGTAGTGGGATTAAAATCAGTCCTATTTTAAACATTCCACCGGCTTTTAATATGAACTCGTTTGGGTTTGGCTCATTATTTTGTAATGGTAAACCCAAAGTCAAATCGAAATAAATTAAACTTAATTTATTTTTCTTTTTATATATAATTATATATTTTTTTAATTTGCCTTCATTTTGGTTATGATTAATAAAATTAAAATATGTAGATTTATGTTATTTATTTTAGTGGTTGTGAATTGTGACATCCCAAACAATTCAATACTGTTATTCGTTTTATCCGTAAGTCATAACTGGATTCATGTTTTAAAATAACACTTTATATCGAGGCGATACTCTACACACACACACACACACCAATTATCCTCCTTGTTCTTTGGTGACTATTTGTCTTAGTGGCTGTTTGGCAAATGCAGAATGATTTGGTATAAAATGATTAAGTGATCAGAACGATTAAGAAGCTCTCATGATATAGTGCAAAATGAAATATAACTATTTGGTAATTATTTACAACGAAATTTGGACGTTGAATGGTTAAGGGGGGCCTAGGATACAAAATCATTCAGATGGTTTTAGAACCATTAAAAAAGAAACTTTTTTTTTTGCCAAACAAGATTCACCTCTTAACGGTTCAGATGTTGCTTCTTAATGGAACTATGAAGAGGTAAACAAACAACACCTTAGAGGTTATAAACAAACACCTTCACTTAGGAGCCATCCCGTCAATGAAGTTTGTTCTACCATCCCGATGGTACAATGATAAATTCTTATATCATTTTGTGATGCCCAAAAGATCAAAAAGAAGACTGATCTAACAATTTAAAATCATGATGAAAGTTATAAACTACTTCACAACTTAGAGATTATAAAAAGCTCACAAGTCTTAATTTCTTTGAACGTACCCATTTAAATGAGCTCACAAATCTCACATTTTATGAATATGAGTTAAATTCCGGACGATCACATCGAGACCTATACACCAAAAGTTTTTTTTTTGAAGTATATAATATTTATATACGGCAAATACAACAAATAAACTCGCACACCCTCCTCACCTATGGTGAGGTTTGAACTCTTGACCTCCTAAAAAGCCAAATGCCCTTTGGTTACACACCAAAAGTTAATATCTCATGAAATGCCACTTTACCTAAGAACCCATTTCTCTAATACCATGTTGCAACACTAATAGAGGGGTTTGAGTTGTAGCAAATTCCGATTCTTACAACTGATTTTCTTTTTCTTTCAGTATCTGTTGAATGATAACTGCTACTATAAATAGACTGTTTAGCTGTAAAAAGATTCATTCATGAAAAATCCAATAACAGTTCTTCATCTCTTTATACACCCAAAAACTCAAATGTTGTTAAACATTGTGAGGTTAGCTCAACTGACAATAAGACTTGAGCCTTTAGTAATTCTCCTCATAAATCACCGGTTTGAGTCCTCCAAGACCACTAGGAATTTTTCTAACTGTTCTCCAAAACCACTAAAATTAGTCAACGTGTATAAAACTGTCTCAAACACCTACGGTTAACAAAAAAACTCAAATGACGATAAAACATGGTAACAAAAGAACATGATACCCTTATTTTATGCTCAATTCCCTTTGCTTTCTTTTACTTTTGAAATTTTGGTCCTTCTTTAATAATTACATGTCCCTTCAAGATTTCCTTTTTCTTTACCTTACATCAACGTTATTTTAAATTCAAAACTTAGGTTACTAACAAATAAATAAAACTTATAAGTTATAACTGATAAATTAGGTTTAATAACAAGTATTTCTTTCATTAAGACAGTATATAAAAACGTTCTACGTATAATTCTTTTTTTGTTCATTTCTATAAATGATTTTTTTGACATTTCAATTTATGGTAAATATGTATTTAACAACTCTACTGGATCAAATTTTGGTTAGAAGATGAGAGATTTTACAGTATTTAAATCGATTGAATCATTTATTTATTCAATATATTATATCAAAAGGTTGGTTGTATCGATTAATTTTATATATTTATAATCACGATGATTATATAAAAGTTTTTGAGTTAAATTTCGTACACATCTATTTTAGAGTTGTTCATGGGCTGGATGACCTGGGCGGGACAACCCATTAGACCAGGCTCATCCAGCCTGGTAGAAATACGGGTTTGGACAAGCATTGTCGAACAAATGGACGGGTCCGGGTTTGTTCGCTAAAATTAACGGGCGGACATAAAATTAAATATGGACAGGCCCGTCCAGTCCGTTTATAAATTTTTTACCATTAACTAAAATTATACTAGTATATTTTAAAATTAAATTGTTAAAGTTATAGGATATGACTGTTTGGCTAAAGAATTATGGAGGTTCTTGATTAAAACTTGAGATGTTTGAAATTGGCATTAGTATGACAGAGCCATGGAAATGTGAATATTAATATTATACATAAAAAATAGGAATGCATTACTGATTTTATGGAAGTCATGAATTTTGTTTTTTCATTTCTTTCTCCCCTTGCTGAAATCCATGTATCACTTTAGTTGCTTAAAATTTTAATTGCAACGGTGTTTTTTCCTTTACCTTTTTGTTCCACATTTGTTAATTAATTAATAACTATCAAGTTTATAGATTTATAAGAGTTACACTTTTTAGGTCCGTTAGCCCATGGGTTGGCTCGACCTGTTTATAGGAAGGGCAATGGCAAATTCTCAAGTCCGAAAAATGAGACAAGAAACTTACCCGATACCAAACATTTACCCGGATAAAGCGCTTACTAAATCACATTTTCTTATCGGATGAATATGGGGAGGACCAGGACACTTATCCGGTAAGAACGAGACAAGGACCATTAGTCTTACCCGCTAAGTGAGGGCGACGACTCTTACCACGGTAAGCGCTTACCGGGTAAATTGTTGCATAAGTTGTCCTTTTGGTGGATTAAAATCTTATTCGGTAAGTAAAACACTCTTACTGGTAAGTACTTATTGGGTAAATGTTTGGTAAATGGCCCCTAAGTTATTGTTATTTTAGAGAGAGCAGTATTTTTCAATCTCAAAACAAATGTTTCTTACTTCAAAAAAGATATTTCTTTCCTGTAAAATGTATGATATATGATTCGATGTATATAGAGAAAGTTTCAAATACAAATCATGTTATTCATACAAACCATACAAGCCGAATTGTTGAGATATTTATGAAAAATGATTAAGATTCAATTATTATAATCTGAATATTTATGTAAGATGATAGAGTTTATTAATTATGATCAACGTTTTAATATTGAAAAACAATCGAGATGGGTACGAACAGCTGAGGTTGGTTTAATAATAAACGTAGGATTTAGTCTTTAAAATTTTCTTGTTTTACCAAGAAGGTGAGATCTATTTTATGGTTGTTTACCTTTTTATATTAAGCCTTGTATGAGTTAAGTTATATGTCTAGATAAATATGTCTGATTGAGGGACGAGAGACGGATGGGTTTGAGGAAGACAAAAAGAAAGGATTTGATCATTTCTAATGCATTTCCGAGTTTCCGACATTGATTTGTTTGAGGTGACTTAATGGGGACAAGTGAGAAGCCCTAGCTTATTCCCTATATCTATTTTGGTTTAATGGCTTAACGGCTTAACGATTAAGCCATGAAGAAATACTCCTATATAGCTAAGCGATTAACCCGTTCAAACCATTAAGCCTATTAAGTCGTAAGTAAACGACCTTCTAAATACTTTTAATAGTAAAATTGAGATGAAATATATATATATTCACGTAATATGTTAACATTAGCTCAAATATGGGCCAAGGCCTCATTAGGTCCATTGATCCATTTTACTAATTGATTGGTGAGAGGGCCCATGATAGTCTTATTGGTTTACAAAGCAAGCCCAACTTCATATTTACATTTCTTTTGAAATGAATTTGCTTATACTTGAAGAGTACCCGTGCAATGTAGCGAGACACATCTCGATTTTAATGTTCTATTTTATTATTTATCTCTGTTGATGTTATAATACGATTTTTTATGTGTTTTTAAGAAAGCAATAATGATTTTATTTTTAAATAAAATATAAATTTTTTAAGATATCGTAAAAAAATTTTAAAAAAAATATCAATGTTAATATCAAATCAACTATTTAAAAGTTCTTTTTTGAATTTTTTGAATTTATTTTTTTATTATAATTTAATTTAAGTTTAATAACAAAATAATTTATTTTTGTTTTAATAATATAACATTTTATAAGAATAATAATTAAGTATTATGTTAGATTTCAATGATTATTCTAATTATGTTTTAGATTTTTTATATTTAAAATGAGATTTTTATTTTGTATTTGATTATGTTCATCTGCAGTTATTTACACGAATTCAGATATGGAGCTTTAGTAACTTACGCACAATTTACTTGCAATCTTGAGTTTTAAGTAATATGCATTAATTAATAGTACTTTACGCATAAAAGTGGTTTATAAGAGTTTTTGTCAAATGCTTTATAATATAGTATAGATTATTTTCCTTTTCATTTAATTAGCAAAAAATTAAATTTGAATAATAACAATACTAAAATTGATATTTATATAGATACAAATATTACATATAAAAATTTAAAAAGTTATAAAATCTAATAATATAAAAAATTGATCTCACTGGTTTTATCAAATTGAATATTATGTTATCATCGTACCAACATTTATTTTTAAACTTAGTTGATCATCATATGTCGCGTTTTTAACGTTCTCGAATTTAATCGAGATGTGAGTAAGTTGATGGACATGTGGTTTAAAAAAACTCAGTATGTTTTCTGCATAAATCCCATATCAAAATTGACAACGTTAGACGTAGTGTGGCATGCCACTGACATAAACGTGTAGCAAAACCTGCACGATTTTTATTGAGGCATCGTTTTATACTATGGTGATATTTGAACAAACCCCGATTTCTTGAATATAAATATGTATTTTTAAATATATATATATATATATATATTTAAAAAAAATGGTGTGTGTAACAAGTAATGCCACCACACATGCTAAAATGGAAGAAAAGATGGAAAAGAAAGAGTAAAAAAAATGTAGTCATGTAAAATAAAAATAAAGACTTGTTTGCATTTTTAGTAATATATATATATATATATATATTAGAAAAGTACTCGTGCAATGTGTCGAGACATATATTGATTTCAATGTTTTGTTTTATTCTTTTTCTTATGTCGATATAATACAGTTTTATATGGTTTTGAGAAAACGATGTTGTTTTTATTTTTTAAATAAAATACAAATTTAAAAATATCATAAAAAAATGGGGAAAAAATCGATACTAGTATCAAATTAACTATTTAAAAGTTCTTGTTTTTTTTGTGTAATTTTTTTAATTAATTTTTTTATTATAATTTAGTTTAGGTTTAATAATACAATTTTTATAAAAATAATAATTAAGTATTTTGTTAGAACTCAACTAATTATATTGTACATTTTTTATATTTAAAATTAGATGTTTATCTTGTATTTGAATATGTTTATCTGCAGTTAGTTACACAAATTATAATAGAGATTTAATAAGTTGTACTTACACATAATTTATTTGTAGTTTTGAATTTTAAGTAATATGCATCAATAAACAGTATTTCATCTTTATTTTCATTCTTGAAGATAAAACACTATTTTTAAGTATAAAAAACTAAAATAAAAATAAATTGTAAAACAAAGAAATGAAAAAAAAAACAATAATTTTTAAATCAGAAGGACAAAAAAGGTAATTAAAAAATAAACAATGAAAATTATAATTTCAAAATCAGAAGAATGAATATAAAAAACATATGGACTAAAAACGTAATTTACTGTAAAAGGAAACACCTAAACCGTAGGTGACACGTCATAACCATAATCCCCCTCGTCACCATACCTTTTTGGCAAATATTACACCTGGACGCCTTCATCTTCTCCTTCGTTGCTGTATTCGCCCCTTTAAATTATGAATCGTCACAAAATAACTCACATGTCGATTCCGAGACCTTATTTATTGAAAAGGTGACGTTATATGTATTCTGAGTCAGATTTATAAAATATAAAAGATAAATATTAATATTTATATGTATAAGAAGAAAATTAATAGATAGACATATTTACCTTGCCTTATTAAAAAGGAAAAAGTCTAAAAAAAACTCAATGAACTTTATTGTTTGGAATGATTAAGTTCTTGGACAATTTTTTGGAACAAATAAGTACTTGGACATTTCAAAACTTGTTAAACAATTTCTTGGACTTTCTAAAACATGTTAGATACATCATTATGACCTATAAAACTAATTAACACAGTAAAATAATAGAAAAAACATGAAAAATAGCCAATGAACATCCATATTTTGAGCGATAAAGTCTCTAAATATTTTTTGAACCAAAAAAGTACTTACATTATATAAAATAAAACAAATATAACAAAAAAGTATTTACATTAAAAAAATTATTGATAAAATTTATTTTAATTAAAAATAAAAGATATTATGTCAATGAATTTTTAAAATAAAAAAAATAAAAAAAGATTGAAAAAATTACTGATTATTTTTATTTTTAATTAAAAATGAAATATATTTCATATATGATTTTTCAAATTAAAAAAAAAAGTTTAAAAATAATTATCGTTGAAATTTATTTTAATTAAAAATAAAAATCTATTTTATTTTTAATTAAAATAAATTTTATCAGTAATCTTTTTAAATCTTTTTTTAATTTTAAAAAATCACATAYGTGATATATTTTATTTTTAATTAAAATWAAWTT